AGATTGATTTTTCCGAAACATTAGGATTCGATGAAGAAGTAAGTTGAAAAAAATAAGGTACATGATCATTGATATCATGGATAGTAATGATTACATTAATCCAATGTATACGTGAAATACAAACTGTCAAGTGAATCTGACATTCTTTCGGTGGTAAAATTTCATTTGATCTACTGTCCATCATTGAAGATGATGATGATGATGATGACAAGATTGAACGTTGATCATTCAATAATAATCCATTGAATTCTTCTGCAATCATATCAGGTTGTGGACATAATGTTTCACGATCAATACGTGATGCAACAAACAATTTTCCACTTGTTTCTTCAATACGAAATAAATTTTTATTTGTATCATCATATAGTTCAAAGGTGGGCAAATTATTCTCATTCATCATTAAATTCATAAAAAATTTCTTTTCTGCATCTAATTTTAAATTACCTATATAAGAACCAATTTCTGATTCTTCATTGATAGAATAAAATAATTCCTTTGAATTGGTTTGATTAAATGAATAACAACTTGTGTAATCAATTAATAATTGAATGTAAAGAAATAAATAAAATTGAAAATAATACTGTAAATTATGCATAATATACATGATTTTAAAAATTGTACATCGTACTTTTTTTTTATCATAAATACATGTTGTATTCCATTGGTTGGTGGTTATGATACATACAGTATGTGATACATTAAAACAAATCTTTTACCTTGTGGTTCAATGTTCAATGAGCCAATTTCTTATACAATTCTTTGAATAACACGATAAACATTTCTATTGTTTTTCAAAAAAAATGAAGTATTTATTTATAATTGTCTGAAATTAATGTTAGCATAGTGGGAAAAATGAAATAACCTTTGAAATGATTGTACGTATATATATATATCGTGTGTATCAAATTGAACTGACAACCAACAGAAACACAACACAACACACAACAAAACAAACTGAACTAAATAAATAAAAAATTTGAAAGTAAAAAAAAAAGAACTACAAATCCCATCAACCAATCCAATGATGAGTTTACTCTGTTTGGTTTGTTTTAATTATATATATATATAAATATGTGTATTTTTTTACAACAATTTCCTCAGTTGGTTGTACCAAAACACACTAGGTGGTTAAATAAATAGATAGATAGATGGGTAGATAGATGGATAGATGGATAGATGAATGAATATCAATATATAGGAAGATGGATAGACGGATGAGCTTAGGTGGTAGATAAATTTTTAAAAGGAATATCTATCTAGATGGATAGATGACACATAGATCGATGTACAGACATGGATAGTGTTCTCATTTTGTTTTAGTTTTATATTTAAACAATCTGAGAGAAATCGGGCAATTAATACAGTAGAAAACAAAAAGGACAAACAGTTCAACCTTAATTTAGTGTGAATATGATGATGATGATGATGATGGTCGGCATAACAGAACACGTGACGAATAAGAAAAAGTTTACTTCATATCACTTTCTATTAGTGCAATCTTTGGCAATGATGGATAGATAAGGGATTTCAAATTCATCGTAAATACAAATGATATTTTTAAATATTGTGAGTAGGGTAAAATTTATTCACATCAGTATAACCAATTGTACGAATCAATAATCGATAGGTATGTATGAATGGGTTTCTTCTCATCGCACTTTCAATAAATTGGTTGCAAGGAGATCGCTTTGTTGGATTTCATACTATAACCATAACTTATTATATGTGTGAAGTTATTTATTATTTTCAGCAAATATAAAAAGACGACATGTAACTGTTGTACTCAAGTAATAAAAATGTTTTAGTCAGTCAGTGAGTCAATTAGCTAGAACGTAGAATTTCATAGGTTTATACATCAGTTGTGGTTGTCATACCAGATTAACACACAGAGATGAGATCGTCAATTAAAATTCCATATTAATAGAGGTAGTGGAAGTATTGACAGTTATGGATACGATCAGGATTAGGAAATGTGATTCGAGAAGTATGTCTCTGTGGAAACGATTTGGAAAGAGAAAAATAAGTCATGAGGAATTCAAAAGTTTAGAATTTTAGAGAAGATGAAGAATACATGCATCTGCAAAAGATTTTGTGCATCTAAGCATGGGTTACTAGTCTCGCGAACCCCAACCAACTAGTCTACATCTAATAGCATGGCTCAATTCAATCGTCAATGAATTCATGGAATTGTGTCATATTACTGTTTGATGATGATGATGACGACGACGTTTGTATATCATTTGTAGTTGTCATACCACATTTGCACACAAAGATGCAACTGTCAATTCAAATTCCATAGTAGTAGTAGAGACAGTAGAATATTGATGGTTATGTCGAAGGTTAGGGTTAGAAGATATGATTCGCGTAGTACATTCCAGTGGAATCAAAAAGTCATGAGCAATTCAGGATTGGTGACTATTCCCTCATGGACACCGAGTGACCCATCATCACCTACTAGCATGGCCCAGTCCAGTTTTCAGTGACTTCATTGATTTTATTACTGTTTGATGACTACTAATTGTTCCTAATTTCTATGCCTATTTTTATGCATTCACTATCATTTCTAATGATTTTTGTGTTTACTCAGTATAACATATATTAAATAATGAATGTAAAGTTGTTGGGGATGTTAGATACCCAAAACTCGCTTGTTGAATGCCTTATTTTGGATTCTACGTTTGCCAGCATGAGCTGACCAGTTGACCTTGAGATTTCAATTCCCACCAAGAAGGCTGTGACTGGCTGCTGTGTATTTTAGTGTGCTATTTTCGTAACTGCCCCAAGGATGTTTCTATGATGTATAAATCAACGAGATTTGTACGCTTGATGGTACTGTGATTGCTGGGTGTTTGTTGAATATACTTTCTGCCGCTTACAAAGTCTTCTTACCTTACTTTGGTATTCAAGGTAGCCTACCTGGACGATGGTAGTTTTCTCGTTCGCGTTTATCGACTAAGGTAAACTCGTTATAGCCTCAAGCATACTTAGTGACGAACACAATAAAAGTTTACATAGGTATGAAAGAATTTTTGTTTTTGCATTATACTACTTATAAGATTTAATTTTTCATACACTCAGAAGATAAAGCATTCGATAACTCTTACCATTCATTAACTTCTAGTTTCAATGATTAAATTGTTTTTGCTTTGTCCCTGTCAAAACGCCAACTGTTACTGATAACTTTCATTATTGAATGTAGATGCAGTCTATGTGCTTACTGAGTCATCGGTTTAGGTTTTCTATTGCTCCGATGCCTTCTAAATTCTTTCATTTACGCTGAGTATCCCATTCTCATAACATACAACGGCGCCTTCAGGCTAAACTTTGACCAGTCAAAAGTTGAGAAGATTGTGAAAGCATCATCTAATGTTTAATAACTGGAGAATGTTTTATTTTACATGCTTTGTTCATACATACAGATGTAACGTCGTTAACCTTAATATTTCTCATGAATGATTCAATTACTCTACTATACTTTTCAGGTCAAACAGTTAAAAAGTTATGATGTAGTCAGAATTTTTTTGTTTTGAAAAAAAAAATTTATGTAAATTGTCGAAGTAATAAACTAATGCTCATGATTCATTATAATATTGACAATATTTAACCTTATTATTTAAAATCATAAATAATTAAACGTAAAGCAAACATTAGAATAAGGTCGGTCGATTAAATATATTGGCAAGCATTATTAGTTAAGACCAGCATGGGATAGGTAAGAAAAAGCATTGTCCATCAACTCAATCTATGTAAAAATCCATTGTGAAAAATACCTTAATTTTTGAATTCATAAATATACATGGGATGTACTGAAGAAGTATGAGTCAGTAAATGGTTACCTTAAACTAACAGCCCATAATGTATGACTATCAAGGTATAGAAATAGGGACGAATAAGTGTTTTACATTGGAATGGTAAATCAATCATCATGCTTTCAGGTTTCGAACAATGGTCTAACGATGATTAATTCACGATTTCAATGTAAAACAACGATCTCCATAACTCAATAATGAAGAATAACTATTTACTGTAAGCCCCAATATGAGTCGAATAATAGACGAAATAGTTGATGTGATCATGCTTCAGAATGAATAGAAGTTTAGTTTTTGAGTGATTCTGTTGGGGATGTTAGATCTCTAGAACTCATTTGATAAATGTCTTTATTTTAGATTGAGATCACATTTCCCACCTGGAGAATCCTTGGCTGTGATTGGTCACGGTGTCATTTTGGTGTATTATTTTTGTGACTGTCCCAAGGACGTCTCTATGGCGTATAGATAAACGCAGTTTGAGTGCTTGAATTGATTGTGCGCTAGCTGGGTGTTTGTAGAATACACTTCCTACGCTATATCAAGACTTCTTGCTGATACAATTGGGACAATCGGATCACAATAATCTTCCTGGACTCTGGTTCATTGTTTTGTTCTCGTTATTCGACTAAGTTGAACCCGTAATAGTTTAAGCATACCTAGAGACGAGCGTGACAGTTTCATCAAGGTGTAATCATTTTAGTACTTACAGTAACAGCTGAGCTAAAACGTCACTACGTCTTTTTATTACTGAGATACTAAGATACTGAGACACTAGAACTTTTACAGCACAAAGTTTATGATAATTGTAGTGAATTAGCACATATTACTAGTAAATATAAAGTAGCTCATACGATCTAAATTACATGAATTTGCTTCTTAATACTTCGAGTTGTCAAATAACCAATAATAAACGGACACAAGCTAAATACAACTGAACAAGTAGATAGTAAATACTGAATATTGTTTTTTGAAATGAGTTCTAAAGCTTTTTGTGAATGGTAACACGAACCAATTAATGCAATTTTTATGTCATTTTCTTGTTAAAATTTACTGAAACAAAGTAAACAAATCAAATATTTGAAACGATATGTTACACTAACAAAAAATTGCTAGTTTGACAAGTTATTTCTCATGATGAAATTAGTATCAGTTAAAAAAGGGTATTAAATCTATGTTTCATTCCGATTGTATTTAGCACGACTCAAACAAAAAGTCACACACTCTACGTGACTAAAAGCCTTTTGTTTTGTTATGACAAACGATGTAATTCGACATTTGAGTAAATAAACTTTATTCACTTTAGAGTTATGGAGAGATTGTTGTTTGTTACTGAAATCGTGAATCAATCATTCATTGTAAGAGCACTATTAGAAACCTGCAAGCACTGAACGGCCTCTCCATCCTAGCATGAGACTCAGAAGCAGTGCGTATCCAAGACTCCTGCTTCTCGCAGGATTCAGCAATAAAAGACTTCAATAATTATATAATTTTATGTAACTCATTATTAGTATGCATGAATCTTTAATTAGATTGCAACTAAAAAACGAGATCATTGAGAAATTCGGTAACTTCTATTTCTCTACTGTTTGCGAATCGTCAAGTAGCTTTCAAAACTGTTGTACTTTAAATTGTCTATTATGAACTAAAAAAATCACAAAATATCCCTCAGAAAAATATATGTTGTTTTTCGAGATAGAGAATAAAAGTAAACCTGAAATAATTGATTTTCTACTGAAAATCAATTGATTTACAAACTATTTGATTGATTATATCTATTACTCCAGTCGAGTGTATG